ACTTGATAGTCGGGCTTTGGGTTTCGGGACTTGATATTTAGGACTTGATATTTGGGACTCAATATTCAATGGTCGGGACTCCATACATGGGCGTCAGGTTTCGGGTTTCGGGACTCGATAGTCGGGCTTTGGGCATCGGGACTCAATTGTCGGGACTCGATGTTCGGCACTCGATACTCAATGGTCGGGACTCCATACATGGGCGTTGGGTTTCGGGCTTCGGGACTCGATAGTCAGGACTCGGGTTTCAAGACTCGGTAGTCGGCACTCGATACTCAATAGTGGGGACTCGAAACTCGAAACTCGTAAAAATGTTTGGGTCAAGTTTTGAGCATTGAGTATTGAGATTTGTGTCGAGTCTCGAATCTTGGCCTTCGGGCTTCAGGTCTCGATATTCCGGTGTTGATATTCGGGACTCGATGTTTGGGACTCGACATTCAGGACTCAAGATATCTGGCTCTTGATACTCGACATTGGGTATGCAGGACTTGGCATATAGCAATAGGTCATATATTTGGAAGTCAGTGTTTAATTTTCAGTACTTATTACATCATGTACAGAATTTAGACTTCAACATTCTGAATTGAAGGACTAGAACTACTCCGGTCCCCTTGGCTTCAATTTGGTTAGGACGGCTGTGTACATCTGAATCTCGGCCATCTTTTCACAGATGCCATCTTGTTGATCCTCAATCACTGTCAGGAGGTGTTCTCTCATCCACCTCAGTGCCTTCAGTGATGCAACTGAGCTTTCAGCCACCTGCTCTGGAACAACAAGATGTTCGTCCTCAACGCCAGACTAGAAAGGATTAGTAACCATTCCAGGAAATTCAGTAAAAGTCTTACTAGCCAATGCTGGTAGTGATAGACACAATTAGCAAATACCTGATCCCATGCCCATAATTCCTTCGGGATTGCAGTTGGTCCGGTCCACCATTGAGTTCCATAGGTTGATACAATCCGGGAGGGATCCCCCAGATCTGCAACATCATGGAACTTGCACAGGTGGGATGAAAAGACGTCGTCCAGAACCATGTCCCAGGTGAGCTCAGGAATCAACCGAAGAATATGAGTGACCAGGCTCGGAACAACCAAAATGATGTTCCTTGCAGCTGAGTACTGCAGGAGGGGAGTCACAAAAGTCTGTTGGAAATGTCAGCATTGACCACCACAGTCATCAGTCTCTTACAGCTACAGTGGCTCAAAAAAGTGTCCGAATGTTTATGCATTTTCAGGTAATTGGACAATAGCAAGGCAGAACCAAACAATAACCGAAGGGTATAGGGACATGTCCGAAAGCCCTATATAATAGCTAGAATCTGAGATATATAGCGTGGGAACCCGACCATATATGGGCAAGCTATGGTAATTCTAAATACATCACTCATTCGGACACTTTTTTGACTTTTTATTAAAATAACAAAATCAGACCATTCATACATTATACTCTTAATTAAAGTGGTGTCATAACAATAATATGGTCTGATTGTAATATTATTTGAATATATAAACCCACATAAGATCATGAAATTCAACATAATTATCATGAAGCCCATCTCCTCTGCTCAAAAGGATAATATCCTTGTTCTCTGTACCTCTGGTTTATCTACTAGGCAAATTGCCTCAAAAACTGGTCTTGGCAAATCTACTATTGCTACAGTCATAAAGCAGCACATGCCAGAGAAAGAAAATCATCAAATGGGATGTCCTCCCAAGCTTACTCCACAGAACAAAAGAGCTATTGTTCACCAAATTCTATCTGGCAAGGCTTCAAATGCTACCCAAGCTACCAAGTTCATCAATTCCATCATCTCCACTCCTGTCTCCACCCAAACTGTTAGAAACACCCTCAAGGCAGCCAATCTTAAGGCTGTAACCAAGAAGAAAAAACCTCTTCTCTCTGTAGCTCATAGGAAGAGAAGACTGGCCTTTGCTTTAAAGCACCAACATTGGACTGTGGAAGACTGGAAGAAGGTGCTTTTGTCAGATGAAACAAAAATCAATAGAATGGGGTCAGATGGCCAGGAATATGTGTGGAAAAAGGCAGGAGAACCATTAGGAGAAAGAGAAGTCAAGGGTACACTGAAGTTTGGAGGAGGAAGTATGATGGTATGGGGTTGTATGGGGTGGAATGGTGTGGGGATTCTTTGTGAGGTGGAAGGAAGGATGAATGCAGAGCAGTACATCTCCATTCTAGAGGAGTGTCTACTCAAAAGCATGCAGGAGTCAGGAATTGATGAAGAAGATATTATCTTTCAACAAGATAATGACCCCGAACACACCTCAAAACTGGCTACAAAATGGTTTGAAGACCATGATATCAAGTTCTATCATGGCCAGCACAGTCTCCAGACGTCAATCCCATTGAACATCTCTGGGAATTACTCAAAAGACTACTTGCTGCCTATCAAGATCCTCCAAAGGGGCTTTTTGAACTTGGGAGAGAGTTGCAGCAGAGTGGAAAAAGATTGCTGAAGAGGAGTGCCAGAAATTGATAGAAAGTAAGCCTAGGAGGATTGCAGCAGTTATTAAAGCCAAGGGGGGTAACACCAAGTACTAGAATCATAGAATAGTCTTGGTTAAATATAAAGTCAAAAAAGTGTCCGAATGAGTGATGTATTTAGAATTATCATAGCTTGCCCATATATGGTCAGGTTCCCACGCTATATATCTCAGATTTGAGCCTTGATATAGGGCTTTCAGACATATCCCTATACCCTTTTGTTATAGTTTGGTGCTGGCTTGCTATTATCCAATGACTTAAAAATGCATAAACATTCGGACACTTTTTGAGCCACTGTATCTCCCATTGCAGCCTGGCTTTAAAGTGCATGATCCGAGCAGCAGAAGGCTCCTCAGTGTGGGTAGCCTCCATCTGATATTGAGAGATGGATGCTTGGATGTGAGATGCAGCCATTGACATTGTAGCTGCAAGATCTGCCGGAGTGAGTGTGAGGGGTCGGGACCCATCGCCTGGAATTCTGAGAATCAGAAGGGGATGTAGGAGGAATATGCAATACAGACATGGTTAATGCAGTATTATGAACCTGGAAATGACAATCACAATGGCAGTTGGTTTGGAGGTGAATATATGAGCCACAGGTTGATGGATAAAATTTTTCAAACTCCGACATTTGTTGATCTGGGCAAACTCTGTCATAGGTCAACCCGGCCAATTTCCGGGACTAAAATGTTTGGGTTGATGTAGCTGTTTCATATCTTCAGCAAAAAAAATTCATTCATCTCGAGCATCTATAAACCTGCTCTTCTGGTCTTGAAATGCTGCCTGGGCATCCTGTGCCAGCAATGAATACATTTGGGATTGCCTTCCCGAGTAGCATGCATGACCCAGAAGGTTTTTCACCAATGATTTGTGCATCCTGTCACCCCATTGGGTTGCTTTCCACAAGAAAAAGTTACATGTCCAATCCATCTCCAATTGTACCAACATCATTTCTTCCTTCCATCGATCCCGTAGGGCCTTTGCCCGAAGCCAATGCACTCGGTAAACTTCGGATGGGTCCGTCAGCTGAGCACAGGATATGTCAAGCATGCCCTGAACTCACATTCCTCATTCCACGAGTGATCAGGACCCCCCAGGTCGACTTCAACTGACCAGAACCAAGCGAGGGACTCGTTTTGCTGACCTCGGGCATTTGGATCGCCGACTGGCAGTGCTGATTTTGAGCTGCTCCCGAAGCAGGGGTTTGTATTTCTGAAGCTGGTCTTCCCCCTGGCTCAAGTTGCATCATTTGCTTCCTTGTCTTCATATATATACTGGCATGGAGGGACACTTCCTGCTGCATGGACGTCACCTGGGACCAAGCTCGAGTTTTCAGGGCCTGGGATTTGGCTTGCCTAACTGTTGTTTGGAACAGAATTGCCTTGTTGCACAAGTGAATTCGGAGGTTGTGAAGGGAGTCATTGGCCTGCCCTTCACGAAGAGACATCTCCAGCATAATGAGATCCTCTGCCATGCAGCGTCTGCATCGATCTACTCCGAGGTTTGATGGCAATGGGATGACAGTGAGCTTGGGGGAGTTCGCCCATGTGTCAGATGTCTCAGTGAAGTCTGCCAAGTCATCAGGATCATCATCTGCATCAAATCCCTCTCCAAGATGAGTAATAGCAGACTGAGTGAATCCATCTATCTGGCCTTGGAGACGATCACGTTGCTGGGCTATGTCTAATCTCTGTGTCTCGGTAGTTCTTCTACCAATTCTTCGGACCTCGATGAGCAATGCAATTTGAGCCTCTTCAATCACCAACCCAATTGATATCCATGTCACCACAGATCTGCGAGCAGGTGCTGCATTTCGGGCATTACCCTCCTCTAGTAGTCTAAGCTCAATCTCCTTTTTGCTCGGTGCTGAGTGCAAAATTAATTCGGACTTTGGATGGAGACAAAGTCAACTTACCCTTCTTGATATTAATCTCATATACATCCATAGCCACAGGATCATTTATTCTGCTGGACTGAGCGATCCTCCGCTGGCTAACCATTCTGTCTTTGAATCGCTGGGTGCTGCTTCATTGAGTCTGTCGAAAGCTTTTCACTTTCAGCGATGCCATTCTTTGCCTGCTTGTATTTACAGCAAAGGGTCCTTTTCATGTGGATCATCTTGCAGAAATTGGAATCATTCATCTGATAATTGAGACATTCCCCGAGCAGCAGGGGAAATCAGGTTGAGACATGACCATAGGGTCTCCATGATCTCTCCATTGATCCGACTGATGCCTTCGATAAATTCGACACATATTGGACATAGCAGCTGTCCTGATGTCTGTGGATGTGCCACAACCCGATTCTGGGAATGATGGTCAATTCCGGAACCATTTCGAGAAATCTGCTTTGATCCACCCGAACCCGAAAGTGCTTGTTGTATTGACAGTTGATATCATAGAAGGTGACCACCCTCGTGATGCCTTCCATGTTGTGCTGGGCAGCCTCACAAAGGGCATAGTCCATGTTCATTTGTCTGTGAATGATGCATGGTTAACTCATGAATGTCGAATGGCAGGGTGGGCTTGCCTTTTGCATTTCTGAAAATCTACCATCGAGTGAGGAACAAAGCAACCGTGTCGAGCACAGGCTACTCCCCCGATGCCTGTCGATTCCAGCTTGTGCCGAGCCGCATTTGCTTGATTTACTGCCCGGTGATTGCTGCAGCTCGATTTTTCTAAAGTGTCAGCAGCCTCTGCAAGATGCTTTTTATACCTGTCTTTTCCCACCATGAATCCCAACCCATCTGACAGCCAAACTTCATCAAATGGCTTCATGGGATGCAGGTGTTCGGCTTTGAAATTTCCGTCCATAACAAATGACCGGGTGTATTTCCACCTTGGAGCTGTTAACATCGCTGAGGTGACTTCGGTATCAAACGAGACTCACTCATCAAGTGATTCATCCCCTGACAAGGATACATTGATCCCCTGGCTGAGGACAAGCGGGGCAAAATAATGCGAGATCACCTGCATTCAGGTTGTCAGAATGATGGCCAAATCCATGCCATTTCATGGCCTTCAACTGCCTCCACTGTCGGGTGACTCTCATGAGCTCTCGGTATCAGGTCCTTGCCACATGCTTTGTCAATATAATGTCCTTTAGATGAGAGATATAGCATTACCAGTACAAGGTGTGGAAACATGTTGGAGGTCATTCGCCGGAGCTTGCTGTAATAGTTCATCGCCGAGGTCCCACATTCAAGGTTGTCCAATAGAAAATCATTGAGCACCCTGAAGGTGAACAAAGTCTTCGGCTTGTTAAATGAAGCGGGGAAAAATCCATGTCGAAACATTTGAAGGTCTGGAGTCATGGTATTTGGACAATCGCAGCATCGAACCTGGAGGCGATGAACTCCAGACTTGTTGCAATGATAACCATGGTGTTTTCCTTCGGCTGGAACTCGGGTCCCGACACAGACGGTAGATCTTCAGGCTCAAGCTGGTCTTCAGGTTCGTCTTCTTCGAACAAATCCCACCTATCTGTAAGTACCGGACATTGTTTGCCCTCATGACCAAGGTGTATGACAAGTCCGACGTGAGCGAGACAACTTTGCTTGAAGAATTGACCATTCCATTGACTGATCCAGTGGAAGGGATTGCAAAGATGTTGACTTCTGCAACAGCCAGTGCAATATAGTGGCTCCCCAAGACAATCTTGACATTTGTAGACCCCATCCTGGTTGCAGACAATGCATCTCCTATCTTCTGGTGGAGCTTCTTGATCCAGGAGGTGATGTAGATATGATTCCTGCCTTGGCAGCCATTGCCTGAGGTAGTCATTCTGACTCTGCATTTGTTATACTTAGCTATCATTTGAATTGCAATGCAACATTTTACATGAACTTGCCATGGTTTTTGGGAGTTGCAAAGGCTCAAATAAGCCTTGGTCGTGCTCATAAGTATTGTCAGGAATGTCTTCCCAAAGAGGTGGTGCCTCAACAGGCTGAAGTGTTGGTGATTCTGGGGGAGAGTTAGGCATGGACCTGTAGGCATGTCTTTTTGTGCTTGCAAGTGGGACCTTGACCCAAGTCTTCCTACCTTTGCTGCCCCTTGCTTCTACCCTGTGGGATTTTTGCAGTGGGGTGCATCTAACCTATCTTCATCTTATTTTCTAAGGCTGCAAGCAAAGCATTAGCTCAGGAATGTGAATAAATTGTTATTGCAATGTGATGTTATGCAGTCTTGATGCTGTCATTACAAATTCATTTCCATTAATAGGAATTGCGTCCAATATGGGTTCGATTAACCAACTGTTAGGCTTTGCTCAAAGTTCAACTTGTCACCATTATTACTTCCACCTTGCTCATCCTCAGCCCTTTCTGCAATCTCATTCACAATGGCAAGATCAGGTCATTCCACTCAGTTGACTTCCACTTCTGGAAGACATAGGGCGCGTCAACCACAGACACAGAAGTTCACAGACAACGAAATTTTGGAGTTGAAGAACTACCTTCCTGAGTGGACTTCGGCGAAAAGGAATGAGAAGCGGGCAGGTTTCACTGCCATAGCTAGGGCTGCCAGGCTATTTGCTCCCAAGGTTGACCAAGCACAATGGAAGAAGAGGAAGCGGGTGATTCATCCTTGCTTCATTCAAAACTAAAATTTTAACATCTTATTCTTCCATGAACTCTCAGATGTACAAGACATGGTTGTTCAACAACAAGAAAAAGAAGGAGAGGAAGGACATGATAAAGTATGGGAGGAAATGGACTCCCAGGCAGGTGATCTACCAGCAGAAGTGGGAGGAGGTGCTGAAGAGGATCAAGGATGAGTCCAGGGCAAAGCCAGGAGGTCCTGGTATGTTCAAGCATTATCAGGCGGCTGTAAAGAGAGTCATGACTGAATTGTCTGACAACGAGTTGGAGAAGGCGAAGGACACAGCCGAAGAATGGTCAAACAACTTTCCACCTCCGAGATACAAGCACAAGTGGCTCGTAAGAAGGGACCGGTGTATATGGAGCACTTTTTGAAGGAGATGTGGAGGCAATACAGGATGAGAGTGTTTGTGATGTCAGCATGGAAGAATGAACAGGGCGAGGTGCTGTTCGGGATGTAAGTCAATTTTGTCATCTCAGATCCTCGATCTCAATACATTTCATGCAGGCACAATGATAACGAGGCATTAGGAGATGGGGACAGTTTCATGAAGACGAAGGAGTGGGAGGACATCGAGCCAGTTTGGCAGGAGTATGCACAGGAACAATTTGGTGAGTGTTTGAACTCTGGCTACTGGAATGAATTGGTTGATCTTCTTCATGATAGGTGCCGGGGCACGGGATGGAGGGCAACAGGTGATGGGAGGTCGAAAGAGAATCAGGAAGCCTGCTTTTGAACTCAAGACCAATGGGGATGGGATGCTGGTGCTTCCAGACATCACTGAAACGAAACTCGAGGAGAAGAAAGCCATAGTCAGAGCATTTCTTACATCGCACTATCGTGAGTCCATCGTTGCAACACCCGAACATTTGTTGAACACATGTATACAGGTATCTGTTCCGGGATTGACAAGGCAGTTGTGCCATGGAGCGCCATCGTACAAAGTCAGGATGACTTTGTGGCAAGAAAGTATGTTCCGGTGGATGTAGACTTGAAGGAGCCATCGAAGTTGCAACATTGGGACATGACCGCCTTACTGAATTTCTGGTATGCTCGGCAGGAGAAAGGCAAAGGTCCAACATTCCTGTTCAAAGCATCGAAGAACAGAGATGGGGACATGGTAACCTCAGTTGTATCCGGGAATTCACCTTCTCATCAGACTCATAAAGTCAGAAGAGATACAGTGGCTCAAAAAACTGTCCACATGTTTTCGCATTTTTCACTGTCTATGATATTGTGTGAGAATGTACAAACACATCAAGGACATGCTGGTACCATATTGGAGTACTACTTCAGGGCTTCCAATTGAGCCATATGGCGTGGGAATCGGCCAAGATATGGTGGACATATGAGGCTTACAAAATGATGACTCATGCGGACAGTTTTTTGACTCAAATATTTTACAGTGATAATCAGGTATTCTAGTACATTGTGTGACCTCCCTTGGCTTTAATTACTGCCTCTATCCTTCTAGGCATACTCTCAATCAATTTCTGGAAATATTCTGCTGTAATCCTTGCTCATTCCACTGCTACTCTCTCCCATAGCTCCTATACTACTTTAGGGGGGGTTTCATAGGCTTGAAGCTTCTTCTTGAGTGTTCCCCAGAGATGTTCAATGACATTGACATCAGGGGACTGTGCTGGTCAGTCAAGAACATTGATATTATGTTCTTTAAACCATTGTCTGGCTCTTCTAGATGTGTGCTGGGGATCATTATCCTGTTGGGAAATGATGTCTTTTTCATCAATCCCTAATTCAGCTATGCTAGACAGCAAGTGGTCATTTAGAATGTCCACATACTGCTCAGCATCCATCCTCCCCTCAACTTCAGCAAGTATATCCACACCATTCCATCCCATACAGCCCCATACAATTAGAGAACCTTCTCCAAATTTGACAGTCTCACTAACCTCTCTGTCTGTTAGAAAATCCCTCTTCTTTTTCCACACATATACCTTCCCATCTGACCCAATCCTATTGATTTTGGTCTCATCTGACCATATAACATGCTTCCAGTCCTCTACAGTCCAGTTTTGATGGGCCAAGCCAAAGGTAGTCTTCTCTGTCTATGTTTGATAGAGAGAAGAGGCATTTCTTCTTTGTTACTGCCTTGAGATGAACTGCCTTGAGAACATTCCTCACAGTTTGTGAAGAGACAGTGGTGGTGATGGTGGAATTGATATAATGGGTGGCTTGGACGGCATCATTAGCCTTTCCTGTAGTGATATGTTGGATGATAGCCCTCTTATTAGCAGAGGTGGACGTCCTCCACAAGAGTTTTCCTTGTCCAGATGGCTTTATTTGATACACTTGGCCACAGTAGACTTGCATACTTCAGTTCTAGAGAAAATTTGATGAGCAGAGAGGCCAGCATAGGACAAAGAGAGGATATTATCCCTTTGAGCAGAGGAGATGGCTTTCATAGTGATTATGACTATGACACATAAGACATTCTGGTTTATATAGTTAGATATAGTTTTAAGAGTATGCCTAGAAGGATAGAGGCAGTAATTAAAGCCAAGGGAGGTCACACAATGTACTAGAATACCTGATTATCACTGTAAAATATTTGAGTCAAAAAACTGTCCGCATGAGTCATCATTTTGTAAGCCTCATATGTCCACCATATCTCGGCTGATTCCCACGCCATAGGGCTCAATTGGAAGCCCTGAAGTAGTACTCCAATATGGTACCAGCATGTCCTTGATGTGTTTGTACATTCTCATAAAATATCATAGATAGTGAAAAATGTGAAAACATGCGGACAGTTTTTTGAGCCACTGTATGATCCAAAGGCCTCAGAATTCAGAGACCAAAACTGACAGTGATCCCGAGACCGATCACGAGGGTGATTCCAAGAGTAAGCCCAAGGGTGACACTCATGATATGGGATGATGCTGGTGATGACGCAGCGGAAGGTAGATCCCCGCAAAAGAGACCCAGAACAGAGCCTGGTCCTTCGACAGCACATGAAGGGACCGCTGTCCCACATGCAATTCCAAAGCCTCGCCTGGTCAATGCAGAGAAAACTGGTGCACTGCTGACATCACGAATGGGCGACCTCCCGGCTGGACTGACTGAGAGAGTCACCGGCAATGTTCAGGAGGATGGTGCAATCGAAGGAGTCAATAGGTCACTGGCACTGAAAAACATGCGGGGAAAGAAAGCGGTGATTGAGTCATCGGCAAGGACAACCCGGAGTAAGTCAACACAACAGCCATTGGACACTAGCCCTCGAGTGACCAGAGCGAGGGGAAAGAAGTAATGGACTTATACTACACTGCCTGCCTTTACCTGCTATTATGTACATGTCAATGTGATTCAATCATATCGAATAGAGTCCCAACTATCGAGTCCCGAAACCCGAAGCCCAAGATTTGAGGAATGAATCCCGACTACCGAGTCCTGAACATCGAGTCCCGAACATTGAATCCCGACTATCGAACACCGAGTCCCGACTATCGAACACCGAGTCCCGACTATCGAGTATCAGTATCGAGTCCCAAACATCGAATCCCGACAATCGAACACTGAGTCCCGACTATTGAGTATCAGTATTGAGTCCTGAACATCAAATCCTGACAATCGAACACTGAGTCCTGACTATCAAGTATCAAGTATAGAGTCCCAAGTATCGAACATCGAGTCCCGAACATCTAAAATCCCGAACATCGAACATCAAGTCCCAAGTATCGAATCCCGAAACCCAAAGCCCGAGATTCGAGGAATGAATCCTGACTATCGAGTCCCGACTACTGAGTCCCGAACATCGAGTCCCGAATATTGAATCCCGACTATCTAGTATTGAACATCGAATCCCGACCATCGAACACCGAGTCCCGAACATTGACCATTGAATCCCGACTATCGAACACCGAGTCCTGACTATTGAGTATTGAGTATAGAGTCCCGAGTATTGAACATCGAGTCCCAAACATCGAACATTGAGTCCCGAACATCGAACATGGAGTCCCAACTATTGAACACCGAGTCCCATACGACGCCCGGTGACATGCATTGAAAGATCCGGTAGTGTACATGATGTGGGGATATCAATGAAAATTCAGAGGTTGTAATAAGGTAATTTACATAGTCATTTGTTCTTCAAAGTGTTGAATCATGGAATCTACTACCTTGAGCATTTCAATGCTCATCTGTTCAACTCTTTGCAACCTCTGCAGGTCTGCATCAGCTTTTTTCAGTTTGTCGGAAGTTTCCGCCCAAGCAGTTTGGAATGGTCACTCAGCCTCCATTAGTTGTTGGATGGAAGAATCAGGAAGACCTCCAGTATGGCGTTTGTAATCACCGAGTCAATCTCGGACAGATTGGTCTTGCAGAAAGATTAGCAAAAAGATAAATGCTCTGCTTTCAGATACTCACATTCTGGGTGTTCGTATTTTCCGAAAGGATGGAGCTCCCAGACCATCAAACGTACATCTTTGACATTGAGCTCCGGCTCATCTGCACGAAGTTCAGTAGATGATTTGGCGGCTTGGGAGATACAATAAGTATCAATAAACATCTGGAATGAATAGACCCACATGAAATAGACACCTCTGATGTAGCCGGTGCAAAAGTGGGAGGATCAGCAGAATCCGGCAACTCATCAACATCAATGATATCATCCTCAGGCCCGAGGTACAAGTCTGGATCAATGAGACAGCCGGCATCATCAGCCTCACCCAGATGTGATTGATCTTCAAGGGTGAAGTTAGCATGGATGGTGAATGCTGATCATAAGGAATGTATAAACATACCAGGCATTGCAGCCAATGCACCCGGTGGTCCGGATGACATAGAATCATATTCTATGTCATCATCCGGCCCAAGGTATAAGTCATCTAAGTCATCTGAGGGATACCCGGTAAATTGATAAGGAATGATAAGAATACAACATACCTAGTGATACCCGGCCCATAGATGAGTCATCCACATCCATAGAATTATAGTCGGTCACCAGGGGGTCATTAAATCTAATGGCTGGATGGGAACTCATGTGGTGTGGAGAATTGGTGGACTGGTTGACTGATGATTGAAAAAAATTCGAAGTTCAACACACAACCGGCAATTGCTGAAAGTTGAACGATGACCAAACAAACACAAACAATCAATGATTTTATCGATCATCCATCAAATGTCTTGTTTGATTTGAAACTTCATCTTTCTGATAACTGATCTCAATCTGATTTCAAGATCTTTAAATCTCTCAACTCACTCATCATGTCTACTCCAGTTGCCGACTCTTTGACTGATCTCAAGAATTCCACTGCCCAGATCATGGCCATCATCAGCACCGCCCGGCAGATTCCCCCAGGTCCCAGCCACTCAGCTCTGGGAAAACAGATTGGTACACTTGTGGTATGTATTTTTTTTCGTGTTTTTCTTTTGTCTCTAACATCCAGGTAGTCTAATGTAGCAAAGGAGTATGGGTCCAGGGATGGTCCTATTCCCGGACTCATCATTTTGTGCCTCAAAGAGCTACACCGCATCCGGAGCATGGTTCCCAAGGTCTGGCCTGACTGGCACACCATCGGGTATGACGATCCCCGCATTTTGAGGCACGCCTGGTACCCCAAGGTCCTTGCCTGGGAGGCCTTAGGTGACTGGACCTTTGATCTCCCAACTGCTGCCCCCCCATCCACAGGTCCGATTCCAGTCAACCTTCCCTCCCCAGCCATCCCTACTGGCAATGTCGCTGGCCCTTCCACCAACCCCACCACCAAGTTCCGGGACAAGGGGAAAGGTAAGGCCGTCTTCGCTGACCTGGAGCCTGAGGCAGAAGGCAGTAATAAGAGGAAGTCCCCCTTGATTTTGGGACCACCCTCCCAACCCCCAAAATCTGTGATGAAGAGTCACAAGCATCAGAGGTTGGCTTGCGTGGTGAAGTCCAAGCCCATGGTGGAGTACTTTTATATATCTCAAGTGTATCCATACACTAATACAACTCACAGAAAAACCCATGCTACGCTTGCAACAAGCTACAATGGCCTTGCACAACTCGGATGGACAAGAGGACCGGGGCTCCGTGTATGTCGTGCATCTACTGCACGACAAAGAAGATCAAGTGCACCCCCGCATCTATGGGATCCCCACCTCCTCGCAATGGTGCCTCCTCTACCACCCGGAAGACGAGGTCCAGGACGTCATCCAGGGCTCCCTCCAAGGCTCCCTCTGCATCCCAAACCCCTGCCCCCTCCAAAGCTCCCCCTGCCTCCCAATCCAAGGCCCGAACTCACAGTCAGTCTCGTGGCCCGTCCGGAACTCCCGGTGTCACTGCAGTGACAACCCCCAAGACCCAGATGCATGGTCGCAGCAAGACCATCACTGCCGTCAAGGCACCTGCACCTGAACCAGCTCGTAAGTCACCCGAGGTTTCTTTTTATCATCGTCTGACCTTAGGTTTCCATTCTAGCTCTTCCGGCCTCGAGTTCGGCAGTCCCAGCTGCAGCATGTGGCCCGGCAGTCCCTGCTGCAGCACTTGGTGTGCCCATGCTGGATTTCCATGCCATGTCCATTGCAATTCGTCAAGGGCACAGCTCGAATCGCTCTTCTGGAGGATCGTGTGGCAGAGCAGGATGGTAAGATTGATACCCTGCAACGTCTTCATGAAGGCCTTAGGCACGAAATCATGCACCGGCACCCCTCATTCCCACTGCCCGATCCTCCTGCCAATGCATCATCCTTGTTGCTTGATCAATCTGGCCCCCCCACCATGTCACCTGCCAAATCTGCACTCCCACTTCTCATTGATCTCACAATGGAAGGCATTGCTCCCACAACCGCAACCGCAACATTCCCGGATGCCTCTGCCATTGATGGCCTCCTGTTTGATTACAACCAAGTTGCTCATCCAGAGGATCCAGATGCGTCCGGCGAAATTGTGAACCCAGGTGATCCGAGCAACCTTGTCCCAGAATATGACTCTTCTGATGACATGGATGTTGAGGTGGAGGTGAAGGTTGAAGAGTCTTCTGAGGAGGTTGACATGGCTACATAATTGCATAGTGATAGATGTATATACAAGTTTTCAATGAATGTAACTTCTGCCAGTCCATCGATCGAGTGACTGAGTTCCAAGTACCGAGACCTGAAACCCGGAATTCGGCACTCGGTACTCGACGAGAGATTTGAAACTCAAAACTCGACATTCGAAATTCGAAACCTGAAATGAAGTGCTGACTACCGAGTACCAAGTACTGACACCCGAGATTTGGTACTTGGTACTCGGTGATTCAAGTCTCGGGATTCGAAACTCAGATTTATATGAGTTTCGAGTTTCAAGATTCAAGATTTGAGTTTTGAGTTTTGAGTTGAGTACCGAGTACCGACACCCAACACCCAAGATTCGGTACTCGGTACTCGGTGAAATGTGTACAGAAATACAAATGTAAGATGATACACACGAATCACCGAGTACCGAGTACCTGAATCTCGGGTGTTGGGTGTCAGTACTTGGTACTTGGGTGTTGGGTGTCGGTACTCAACTCGAAACTTGAAACTCGAAACTCGTAAAAATGTATGAGTTTCCAGTTGAGGTTTGAATTTCGAGTTGAGTCTCTCTCGAGTCTCCAGTCTGGGTGTTCGGGGCTCTGGTTCCGGGTTTCAGGGTTCAGTACTCGGTACTCGTTACTTGGTGAATGTCAGACATGGTGTATTCAGGCTTTCTGGTATCTATCTACTCGACGAAGATGTTTCGATTGACGAGTGAAACGTGACTGTGATCTTATTAGTATCACTCGTCGCTGAGTCTGAGTCGAAACGAGGCAGCTCTCTGGTTCTCTTTCAGTGCTTTTGTGGATATAGTATACCAATACCTAGGCCTATCTGTCTATATGATATGTATCTGGGCCCACCCATCTGTCTAATATTACCCGACATCGGCCCACCCGTCTAGGTAAAATTCCCCACTTCGGCCCACCCATCTATGTAATAAATAATTCACCTCACCCTCGGCCCACCCGTCTATCTAATATTAACCCATGTTGGCCCACCCATCTATATAATAAATATTTCACCTCACCCTCGGCCCACCCGTCTATCCAATATACCCCTATGTTGGCCCACCCGTCTATGTAATAAATAATTCGCCTCACCCTCGGCCCACCCATCTACCTAATAATACCCCACGTTGGCCCACCCGTCTATCTAATATTTCCCTACGTTGGCCCACCTGTCTATGTAATAAATATTCCACCGCTCCCTCGGCCCATCCGTCTACAAAATAATACTAATACATCGGCCCACCCGTCTATATAATAATATTTGCTATACATCTCTCCTCAGGTCTATAATATATGTCAATCCTACTCTACATATTACCCACATGGGCCCACCCATCTCCATAATAATATTTCTCCCAGCCCATCTGCCATCGTCGATGATATATATAACATCAGCATAGATGGGTCCCACCCGTCAACATCAGGAATATACATAACATTGGCCCATAATCCTGCTGGCCTGTATTACACGGGATATTATGTAGGTCGGTGTCATATCCCGTACCTCCAGATCCGGAATTCTGGATCTACTTCATTGAAGTCCAGTCCTCCATCTTACTATTCCACCCGGTGCTCCGCCTTCATCTCCGCACTCACCCCTAACTCCTTTTAGATTAGCTATTGCTCCGGTTACCAGTTATGTCCTATTCCACTATGCTTACTGATCCGTCCATTCTTACTTCATTTCCGACTTCACTGCTTTGATCTGTTATACTTAGTAATAGACTTTCCACATACTTTGTACATAGCTCTTACCTTTGCTGACTGATTTACTTACATGATACCTACAGTATATAAACCCCTGTAATACTCCAGGAACTCCTCAGTTTGAATATCATCTTAGTTCTGCTCATTCCTGCAATCTCCTGGACTTGAGTCTCACCTCTTGTCCACCTCCGAGTCTTAGGGGTTAAACCTTAGGACCACTTCTCCGGCTCTACCTTAGGGTAGTCTAAACTCTGTTCTATTTCTACTCCTGGACTTCCATAGTAGCCTTACTCCGTCCCCATATAAGTCTTCCGGAGTTCTGCCGAACTCCACCGACTTCTGTCCTCCGGAATTCCCCGGACTTCCATCGGACTTCCCCTCTGTCCCCCGGAAATTAAGGGCACGTACTCGGGTAAGGGGCACAGTGCATGAGCTGAAGCTGAAGCCCTTTGAGCGACCTCTCCCTTGAGCACGACCTTAACAGTCGGGTGACCCATATAGTATGGGATTTGTCACTGAAGGGGCTTGGTGAACCAGGCCAATGCATCTCAGGCACAAGCTAGAAGCCATGGGAATAGGAGGGTGCGCATGCACCAGTCACAGGTGCTTTGTGCCTAATTCGATGGTCGATTTTCAAAAGGGCGAAAGGTAGGAGGTTCCCAACATGGAAGTTGGTGTCGGATGTTGACATTCAGGAGCAGACAGATGAACATGGACTATGCCCTGTGCAACACCTTGAGTCACAATACAGATGGACTTTGCCAGGTGTTGACATTCTATGACGTCAATTGCCAGTACAACAAGCACCTCTGGCAGCGGGTGGACGAGAGCCTTCATCTCAGCCTTCCTTTGGGAATGGACATTATCCCGGGGATAGGACTGTGGCATGTTCATGGCCACCAAGACAAGTGCTATGTTTGGTACACATCCAATTTCATCCCAGGGGCCGCCAGAATAGATGGGGAGATCATGGAAACACTGTGGGTGCCTCTGAACATTATATCTCCTTCCGCCTGGGGAATGTCAACCCCGCAATGACAGGAATGCAAATGAACGACTGCAACTTCATGAAGATGATTCAGATGGGTTAGTCATGTCATACCTAATGCCTGAAACAAATTTCATCACAACAGGGCTATTCTTGTCCCAGAAATACAAAGAGGCCAAATGAGGGGTCACTGAAAGGACCGAGGCATTCGATGCATTGAATGATGCAGCAGATCCAGAAATGGTTGAGCGGTGGGAAGCACAAGAGAGAGTGGCCCAAGGCTCTTGGATAGACAATCCATCAGCCCTGGACATCTACAATGTGCAGTTGCAAAAGGGCAAGTCTCATGTGTGCATAGATATCTTGGTCACGGCACTGATGCTTGACCTTGGCAGCATGAACCTGGAAGGAGGTCGAGGTCAACTTACTGCAGACATCCATCTGTCACCTGGGAGAAAGACTGCAGCTAGGAGCTGCCACTTGGCTTCCATCCAGGATCACCATTGAGGAAATACAGATTGCTCTGGCAATGGACATCAGGAGGATGGGAAGACACCCTACCAAGAATCAGATGCTGGAGATAGGCCGTTGCCAGATCAGGCTGCAACACTCCATTGTTGAGTTTGTTGCAACAGCAGGGAGGTATTTCAGAGATGGCTATGATTCTGACGATTGTATCCCCAACATGGATGTCAAGTTCCTGCGAAATGGCTGTGGATCCAGTGATGAAGACACCAATGATGATGGAGCACTGGGAGTCCATCACCCGACAGCTCTATTCAGACCTGAAATAGTTGTCATCCCTCTCCCATCCAACTTGGGAATGGAGAGATGTAGGGAATTGGGTGTGGCAGGCCTGATCAGACAAGAGATCACCCCAAGGGAGGGACAGGCAAATGACATGCTGCACGCCATCAGAGTGCACCCAGCCGACAAGGTGGTGCTGTTTAGGACCACAGTCAGGCTGGCCAAGTTGTATACCAGGACCACCCAGGCTTGGGCGCAGGTCCACTTGGTGGAACAGGTGATCAACCTCAACAGCATGATCTACAAGAAATGCAGGGCCCAGCTCCAGAATCTCAGGGAAGGCCAGCTGTTGCAAAAATACTGGGAGTTGGAGAAAAGCCACCTCAAAGCCACCTCTGCTGTTGCGGATCCCAATGCCTGAGGTCAGAGAAATTCCACACTGCCATGGTTTTGGTCCCTAGATGTACAAGGGGATTTGGTTAGCAATGACTGGATGAATGAATGTGAGTCATTCTTCTCAGGACTTCATTGTCGGGCCCATGTCAACCCAGAATCCAGTTTACAGGGTGCATTGGCTTTGGACCAAGGCTCTGTGCGATTGTTGGGCAGAAGAGTTCATCCTTGTGGGACACAAGATACATGGCTCAGTCAAACACACCAGAACAGCGACCCCACTCAGGTGGGCAACAGGTGCTATGTGCTCAGATAGGCTCAGATGTACAAACAATTGGCCAAGGATGCTCACGCCCGGTTTGTTGAGGTCAACCCAACATTCGGTCACGACCAGTGATGTCATCATTGGGTGTTCCCAGCAATACAGTTATGCTATGATCTTCTTTTGTATGTAGTCTATGGTCCTTGCAAACAATGTGGTTTCATAATGTTTCATTCCAGCCCAGTTGTGTATCATGTGGACCCGTCACCACATACGGCCCTAACAATGGTCCTCACTGCCTATTTATACTGGTGGTTAAATGGCTGTATTTTTCATTCCCCCTTGCACCTCTGTTGCCCTGATCAACATGCAGTATCCATCACTAATCTTCCAACCAAATTCAGTCCCGACCAGCGTCTCCCTTTGGGATGCTGCAAACATATTTGAATATGTGACTTCGTGGTTTACCGCGATCTGGTTGGCCCTGGATGAGATCCAAGTGTCTTGAACATCTTCCTTCTGAAGAACTTTCATCCAGCATCTGGTCTGGGAAGCCAAGGTGAGTCTCCATTTCCTTACTGTGCTTCTCCATTTGGTATTCTTTAGGCTGACACCCACACTTTGCAGAGATTTGTATTCCCCTACATCAACATATGTGCCACCAGCGACACTTCCCCGGCCTTGCTGGAAAATCTCAACGAGGTCGTGACAATGCTCACCCACTGGCAGGTAGAAATTGCGGATGATGATGACCTCTTCCGGTTATTCCACACCCACCAATTCAACATGGCAGGCAACCTCATGGTCTGCTACCAGATCGTCTCCAACTATGCCTACAGTTGGTGGAATGACCAGTTCAATGTCTGTCCATTCAAGATGCCCAACCGTGTCCCAGTGGAAGAAGTCATCTGATTATACAAACACCACATGCAACAGCTTGTGAGTCCCTTCCCTTTATCCAACTCCTGATATTTGAATCTTATCCTATGCTAACAATTCCATCAGCCGGTCGCATATTTCCTGTGGCCAGAGATGTGCAGGCATGATGTCAGTCCAGACCCCCTGTTGACCAATCTCCAGGTCATCAAAGACAATCTCGGAGATCTCGGTGCTCAGCTCGAGCAATGGCTCTCCAGGAAGATGGAAGATGCAAATGTTGCCTTGGAGGCAATGACTGCCCTCGAGGGTCTGGTAGACAACCTCCATGATGCCATTGCAGCATCACAGCAGTTGTTAGATGGGACCGGGTTGATGCCGGAGCCGGGTGAATATCAGTGAGCCTATGATTTCGGTAGAAGAACATTGTACATAATTTCGGTAGTTGCATGTGTGAATGCCCAGTTCTTGTCACCATCCATCCATTGCAATGCTGTAAGATGCAGAGAACTGCCTCAGGAGCAGTACTTAGCACGACCCTGCACCATGCTTCATTCATTACAGATCCATAAGATCTCCCTTGGCCTCGCCACCATGCGCTTGGCCCCTGAACATGCGCGCTATTACATCCCCTGATTTTTCGTCCTTCAGCATCACTTGAGCCATGAAGCTCAGTTGACATGTCAATAAAATTGAGCAACATCCATCACCCGCCATCTCATTCACCCTGCCCATCATGTCCCACATCATATCATCTTATGCCAGCCACATTGCCTTTCTCAGAAATGGTATGAACCTAATGCCTGTGATACCCGAAGACTGGGCCTTGCATGCCACAAACTCTGCCAGTGAATGGGTTGAGCAACAATTCCTTGCCCACATAGCCGGCAGATCCTTGGTGGACCCTCCACCCAGGATGGATATCCCCACGTTGCTCTTGTGTGGTCAGCTTGCCTGGCTCATGGCCGAGGTGTATCGACACCCAAGTAAGTCCATCTAGGTCTTCTCTGGCATCCCCTTGCTTATGGATCCCCTGAACTCAGTCAAATTGGACATTAATGTCATCCGGTACAACAAGGCTCTTGCAAAACAAGAATCATTGCTTCTTGGACCTGAACCAAGTGGCACCCCGACAAGGACCCCGAAAAATCCTAGTCAAACAACACACTCAACAGCACGTTTAACACCTAACAGCACTACTCCGCCCTAGTGGACTCATCTGAATCAACTCACCCTAATTTCTAGAACTTCCAACCTATCATCAATATGCCTGGAAGTAGGAGAAGCACAAGCATCGGACCAACCACATCGCCCATTTCATGTACTACTTCACCTACATACGAGCTCAATACACACAAAACAACAAGATCACCCATCACACAAGAAGCAATAGAAGCCATGTCAAACAGAGTCAAAGATGCAGCCAGCGGAAAAACCTTTCTTGAATCGAAGCTACTCTGCCACATCAGCCAACCTTTTACGTTAAATCACCTAATATCAGTCCTATTTCAAATCACACAAATGTCAAGCACTACACTGGTCCCAGTAGTCGTGGCAATCTGAGTGGTGGCCTTCCTACTGAAGGATGTGAAAACGGGTAATGTAGCAGACACAATCATGAAGCAAGTTACATAGTTCATCATCACCAAGCTGGCCGACAGCAATGCAGCCGACACCCTCTCCAGGAAAATCACTGACGACATCACGGCCAAGCTAGTAGACCATGTTGTTGCAGCTGTATCTCCTCAAGTCGCTCTAATACATGACGCCTCCCAATCCCTCACCTCAATAATAGAAGACACAAGGATGTTACACACCTCCACATGTAGAGAAAGAACCAAAAAAGAGGACAACATCAAAACAGCAGCAGACCATATTGAGGACGCAGCAGACGCCCTCTACGACTCAGTGGAGACATACCAGAAGGCCCTCCAAATCTTAACCCCATCCCTAGATGCGACACAAGAGAAGATAGACCAGCTCTCCACACAGATCTCTAAGGCCCCCGTGCAAACTCCTGGAACAGCACATTCATCCTACTCTTCAGTAGTGACGGCACACATACCACTGCAAGTAGACAGGGCTTTGGGCCATGCAGCACTTCAGGCACGTCAGATCCTATTAGACCCCCTACCAGGAGGAACCCTGTTCCCATCAAAAACCTTGAAACACGACATAGCAACCAAAATCAAAACCACACTGAAGGCAGCAAGGGATGACACCACCCCAGAAGGCACCATCTGCTCGATCACAACCCTACATAACGGAGGTATAATTGTTGAATTAGAAACTGAATTGCTGGCCAAGTGGCTCAACAACCAACCAGGTAAAAGTGCACTAGAAAGTCACCTAGACATACCTGTATTGTTCCATCAACACCAATACCCTCTAGTTTTAGAATACTTACCTATTCAGATGCAGATTGAACAAGAGGACTTCCTACAACAGATTGAACAAGAAAATCAACTCGAAACCAGCGCCCTCACCTCAATTAGATGGATCAAGCCTCCCACAAAGTGTTCAGCAGAACAATGGAAAGCTTTCGCCTTACTCCACATCACAGATGTCCAAATAGCAAATGACATCATCCATGAAGGACTTTGCTTGGAAAGTGAGAGATTCAGTGCTAGGAAAGACCGAAGGGAACCAATGAGATGCACTAAGTGCCAGAAATTCAATCATATCGCTAAGAACTGCACCTCCTCACAGGACACATGCGGCACCTGCAGAAACCAACATCGCACCTCAGCCTGCAACTCATACCATACAACACACTGTACCAACTGCAGAAGTCAGCAACACACCAGCTGGAGTTGCTCATGCCCCAAATTCATCAAATGTTGCAAGGAACTCGACGACAAATACCCAGAAAATTGAATGCCCTACTTTCTGACTGAACACGCATGGACACACGCAGCTCAACCAATACATCAACATAGGAACTCAACATCCCCACAACCCTCTCCCCAAAGACCCCGTGGTTCCTCTCCCAGACACCTACGCCAAATGACCATTGCACTCCCCAGCCAGCCAACCCACAAAAGATCACCCCAATGTCCGCAAGACAAAGAAATACACAGAATCATCGCCACCCTCACCCCTCCATCCTCCTCCTCCTCCTCCTCCTCCTCCTCCTCCTCCTCCTCCTCCTCCTCCTCCTCCTCCTCCTTCTTCTTCTCCCCCTCCTCCTCTGACTCCCTCCCCCCTTCTCCTCCCTCCACATCTGCGAACAACGATACCAACGGCTTACCCTCAAATCTATCCACTCATGTCTAATCACACCCTTCACCCCCCTGCTCGTCTATGTATATGGCAACAGAACCTCAATGCCTCCATGGTAACCCAAGCATCACTCCTCAACAACTTGAAACTCACTGTCGACTGGGATCTCATCATCATTCAAGAACCTCATATAAACTTCCTCTGCAACACGTGTGCAAACCACCGATGGCACGTTCTATACCCCTCAGAACATTATACTAATCCTCAGCAACACTCTCGGGTGATTATGCTTGTAAACTCTTCCATTAATACTAACTACTGGAAACAGATACCCTTTCCCTCCTCAGATGTAGTAGTCATGCAGCTGAACAGCCCATATGGATGCTGCTCCATCTTTAATATCTATAATAACGGCAACTCTCAAGATACTCTTATGGCCCTCAATACCTACCTTGAAGACAACATCGAAACAATCCGGCCCATGGAAATGGACCATATACTCTGGCTAGGCAACTTCAATCGCCACCACCCGCTCTGGGAGGACATCCGCAATTGCCATCTGTTCAACTATACAGCAGCCAGCCCACTCATTGACCTCATAGTGAACTACGGCATGATTCAACTACTCCCCTGCGGGATCCCCACTCTCCAAGCTAACTCCACCAGCAATTGGACCAGACCGGACAACATCTTAGGGACGGAAACAATAGTGGACTCGCTCATCTCCTGCATTACCGACCCCAGCCAATGCGGTCCTTGCACGGACCACATCCCTATCCTCCTGACCCTAGAACTAGAAATGTTGAAGTCTTCGACTGAGCCTCGACGAAACTGGAGAGAGACGGATTGGGAAGCTTTTAATGAGCACCTAAGCAAAGCACTCGAACCATTCCCACCTGTCCCTCTGGCCTCTGAGGAAGAATTTCAACAGGCCATGAGCTGTATCACCAGAGTTATCTCAGACACAATGGAAGCTACCGTCCCATTCACTAACCCCTGCCCCCACTCGAAGTGTTGGTGGACGAAGGACCTTAGTAAACTTTGAAAACAGGTCAATGAAGCCAGTCGACTGGCCTACCAACTCAGAGGCATCCCAGAACATGCCTGTCACAACGAACTCAAATCCATCAAGAATTGCTACTCAGAAGAAATTGAATTGACGAAGAAACAACATTGGATTGAATGGCTTGAAGATATAGAAGGTAACGATCTATGGACAGCTAACAAAATATATATCCTCAGTGCCCAAAGATGGGGGTAAAGCCCACATTCCGACCCTCAACATTTATCAACCGAATGGCACCACTACCAAAGCCATCACCAATCAAGAAAAGAGTACCATCTTAGCCAAGTCCTTCTTCCCACCCCCCCTGCTGACGACTCTGTTCCCCCCGACCCAGACTACCCCGACCCTGTCGCACCTCACACCCCATTCTGTTGAGATGAAGTCACCTGGGTGATCACAAAACTTAGCAGATACAAAGCTCCAGGTCCCGATGGCATCTGTAATATAGTTTACAAGCGCTGCGCCAACATATTAGTACCCCATCTGACCCACCTCTTCAATGGAGCCTTTACATACTGAACGTTCTACAAGCCCTGGAAACACTTCATGACAGTGGTCTTACGCAAACCAGGGAAGCCCAACTACTTGGTCCCAAAAGCATACCACCCTATCACCCTCCTTAATACTCTAGGAAAACTGCTGACGGCAGTAGAAGCAGAACACCTTACCTTCACCCTAGAGCACTACCAGCTCCTCCCACAGACGCACTTCAGGGGCAGATGCGGGCGCTCAACGACTGATTCTCTCCATCTCCTGGAGGAAACTATCAAACACGCCTGGAGGAAATACAAAGTAGCATCAGTGCTCTTCCTGGACATAGAAGGCGCTTTCCCAAACACGGTCACCAAGAGACTAATCCATAATATGCACATGAGGCGCATCCCAGGTGAACTGATTGATTTCATGGAACGGTTGCTCACACGTCGTCATACACAGCTCAAATTTGATGGCTTCACATCCAACTGGATCCCCATCAACAACAGCATCAGCCAAGGAGACCCACTCTCAATGATACTCTATATTATTTATAGCTCTGATCTAGTCGATGTGGCCTGCACCCGCTGAGGAAATGAAACTCTCAAGGAACTAACTCTCATGTTTGTAGACAACACTGCTTTCATAGCAGTAGGTAAGGACTTTGAAACCACTCACGAAATCCTCGCAGATACAGTGGCTCAAAAAAGTGTCTGAATGTTTATGCATTTTCAAGTAATTGAACAATAGCAAGGCAGAACCAAACAAAATGGGTATAGGGACATGTCTGGAAGCCCTATATCATGGCTCAAATCTGGGATATATAGCGTGGGAACCCGACCATATATGGGCAAGCTATGGTAATTCTAAATACATGACTCATTCGGACACTTTTTTGACTTTTTATTGAAATCACAAAATCAGACCATTCATACATTATACTCTTAATTAAAGCGGTGTCATAATGATAATATGGTCTGATTACAATATTATTTGAATATATAAACCCACATAAGATCATGAAATTCAACATAATCATCATGAAGCCCATCTCCTCTGCTCACAAGGATAATATCCTTGTTCTCTATACCTCTGGTTTATCTACTAGGCGAATTGCCTCAAAAACTGGTCTTGGCAAGTCTACTATTACTACAGTCATAAAGCAGCACATGCCAGAGAAGGAAAATCATCAAATGGGATGTCCTCCCAAGCTTACTCCACAGAACAAAAGAGCTCTTGTTCACCAAATTCTATCTGGCAAGGCTTCAAATGCTACCCAAGCTACCAAGTTCATCAATTCCATCATCTCCACTCCTGTCTCCACCCAGACTGTTAGAAACACCCTCAAGGCAGCCAATCTTAAGGCTGTAAACAAGAAGAAAAGACCTCTTCTCTCTGTAGCTCATAGGAAGAGAAGACTGGCCTTTGCTTTAAAGCACCAACATTGGACTGTGGAAGACTGGAAGAAGGTTATTTGGTCAGATGAAATAAAAATCAATAGAATGGGGTCATATGGCCAGGAATATGTGTGGAAGAAGGCAGGAAAACCATTAGGAGAAAGAGAAGTCAAGGGTACACTGAAGTTTGGAGGAGGACGTATGATGGTATGGGGTTGTATGGCATGGAGATTCTTTGTGAGGTGGAAGGATGGATGAATGCAGATCAGTACATCTCCATTCTAGAGGAGTGTCTACTCAAAAGCATGCAGAAGTCAGGAATTGATGAAGAAGACATTATCTTCCAACAAGATGATGACCCCAAGTACACCTCAAAACTGGCTACAACATGGTTTGAAGACCATGATATCAATGTTCTATCATGGCCAGAACAGTCTCCAGACCTCAATCTCATTGAACATCTCTGTGGATTACTCAAAAGACTACTTGCTGCCTATCAAGATCCTCCACAGGGGCTATTTGAACCATGGGAGAGAGTTGCAGCAGAGTGGAAAAAGATTGCTGAAGAGAAGTATCAAAAATTGATAGAAAGTATGCCTAGGAGAATTGCAGCAGTTATTAAAGCCAAGGGGGGTAGCACCAAGTACTAAAATCATAGAATAGTCTTGGTTAAATACAAAGTCAAAAAGTGTCTGAATGAGTCATGTATTTAGAATTACCATAGCTTGCCCATATATGGTCGGGTTCCCACGCTATATATCTCAGATTTGAGCCATGATATAGGGCTTTCAGACATGTCCCTATACCCTTTGGTTATTGTTTGGTTCTGCCTTGCTATTGTTCAATTACTTGAAAATGCATAAACATTTGGACACTTTTTTGAGCCACTGTATGTTAGAACGCCCAGGAGGGGGTTACGATTGGTCTAAGGCACACAACTTGAAATTCGAGACCAATAAGTTCGCTCTCATGGACTTTTCCATGAACCGTCAGCGCAACCACCCGAACATGCACATTCAAGGCTCGATTATACGTCCTACCGCCACTCACCGCTTTCTAGGAGTCATAGTAGACCAGGAATTACGTTGGAACACGCAAGTAGACCACGCGACAGCTAAAGGATTGGCCTACATCCTCCAGCTACATTGTCTTTCCACCACTGCTAAAGGCCTACCCCTACGACTAATGTGCCAACTCTACCAAGCAGTAGTGGCACCCAAGATGCTGTACGCGGTGGACCTATGGTTCACGCCCTCGTACCATGATGGCTCTGACATCCCTCAACGAGGATCCATCGGCATAGCAAAACACTTCACCTCCATCCAGCGTATCACTGCAATAGCAATCACCGGCGCATTAAGAACCACAGCAACGGACATACTAGAGGCACATGCCAACTTGCTCCCTATCCTGCTGCTGCTACAGAATACATGTCACCGTGCTATTGTCCACATGGCCGCTCATCCCAACACCCATCCATTATACACCCCTATATGCAGAGCTGCCAGCCGCTTTGTCCAATCTCACCACACCTCCCTTAATCGCTTCACACACCAATATCGCATCAAGCCAGCAGAAATAGAATCCCTCATCCCAGATTGAAGACCCCCCACCAGCTCTAACTCCTATCACACCCACATCACCACCTCCAAATCTCAAGCTACCCAAGACCACAATGTGAATAAGGACTCCATACAGGTGTACAGTGATGGCTTGGGACACCAAGGTCAGATCGGCGCAGCAGCGATCCTGTTCAGGGTGGGCTGCATCCCCCGTAAACTTCTGTTCCACTTGGGCACAGATGAAGAGCACACAGTGTTCAAAGCCAAAGCAGTAGGCCTAGTGTTAGCAGCCAAACTCATCACAACAGAAGAGGACATTGTATATCCTGTATCAATCTTCGTGGACAACCAAGCTGTCATTCAAGCCGGTGAGAGCTTTGACTCGAACCCAGGTTCCTACTTAATTGATCGTTTTTAAGAATGTCTCAATGCGCTAGCAAGAGCTGATATCAACTTCCAAATCACCCTGAGATGGTTGCCAGGTCACTCTGACATCCATGGAAACGAAGAAGCTGACAAGCATGCAAAAAGAGCAGCGGAAGGTCAGCACAATAACAGCCCAACAGAAACACTCCCCAAATTCCTATGTTACAACACCCTCCCACTCAGCATCTCTGCTCTGCAGCAGGCCCATCATAAAGTCACAACTGAATGCTGGGAATGCCTTTGGCGCAAATCCCCAAGGTACAACCACATCAATTGTATTGACCCCAAGCTGCTGCATCGCTCTCTCATCAAACTGACAGCAAACTTCCCCAAACAACTCACCGGCCTCTACATCGCCCTACACATGAAACACATTCCCCTCCGATGCTACCTGTACTGCATAGGCAAAGTCCCATTGCCTAGTTGCCCACACTGCCCAAACATGGATGAAACGGTACCGCACTATCTCCTTGACTGCCCACATTACTGCAGAGAGCGTCATGCGTTGCTCCTAGCACTAGGCCGTAATGCCACATTGCTATTGTTCCTCCTGTCAGACCCCTCTGCAACCCCACATCTCATCCGCTATGTCAACTCTACGAAGCACCTAAGCAAGACATTCGGTGAAGTACCCCTGCCCTGCAAGCCTCCAGACTGATATAACTCTGTAAATTTTGTAGCTAAAACACCCGCACAACCCACACAAAGTCAAACCACTCTCGATCCTCACCCCACCCCCTGTAACAACACTCCTGTATCACCACTGTACCATCTCCTTGTACATTGCCCACATTTGCCTACATGATTTCACCACGCCTGCACTGGCGCATGTCAAACAAAGTACCAGGATAATCCTTCTGTCCCTAAGGACCACCCACTACTATATGTTTACACCATGAAATCCTGTACCAGCCCGCCATCAGCGGCCAAGTACATGTCAAACCATTATCACAATAGCCTACATACCACACACATAGTTACTATAGTCATCTCACTCATCAAACAGCACGTCTAAAATGGCCGGCAGGAATGGCGATGTAGGACGCGGATCGGCACTGACATGGTACTCCCTTGATGTACCGATCCACTGCAATATTCACCTGACCCTGCGTGCTCTATCCGACTCCTTGCCGATCAAACTCCCGCCCATGCGCGTTCAAGCCGTTCGCACAAGCGGATCGGCCGACAACGAATCAACGCGCATCATCGGTCGGTCGCGCGCGTGTTTTGCCTTTTTAGCTCACAGATACTCAGTCGAACCCCATATCCATAAAATCCTTGTCCACTGGTGTGTAGTATATTCTTCTTTGGTTTATTTGACAGATACAGTACTTTTACCTCTCAAACTCCCTATTACGTCGCCTTAAGCGGCTTGGACTGATTTACTCTCACATATCCCTGTACATATCACGGACGATTGACCACATGTCCCACATACATTTCTAGCAAACCACAAGGTAGCCCGGACATCCCAAGTGATGATTATCTCCATTATTTACCTAGTAGCCGATTTTGTACTTAAGGAGCGCTCACCCGTTATTGCAATTCAGTTAATTCTCACTCAGAAGCCGTGTCTTTTGTGTTCCATTCTCTTCTGATCCTATTCTCGTGTCCGTCCGCACGTTCGTCTTAAAAACTTCTGTTCCCTATCATCTATCTAAGTCGGCCGCACTCGCTCGCGCACCACATAGCGATCAGTAGAAATTATAGTCGGTCGGCTTTACGGGTAACCGTTTACGCTGAAACACATATTGGATCGGCTGCCCTTTGACTCGTTGTCGTGCCCCTCGTATTATATACTGAGGCAGCAATTCGGTTTGCTTTGTTCTGCTTCCCTCGGGTCGAACTGAACATTTTAGGCTCACTACTCGAATCGGCCGTTATCGCGCTGAGGTCATAGTGGAATCTGCTCCTTACAGCGGACTGATGGGGGTACGCCTCACATCAGGGCATTCGCAGGTTTGGAGATGTGATTGGGACACTGGGAGTCCCATAGACTAGACTGTACTGTCCTACATAGAGTATTACTCTGCAAAGGACAAAAATTGGAATAAAAAATAGATGCCTGGGAAGAGGAGTTGTTGGCAAGGTTCCCTCCGCCCGAGAAGATGCTCTTGGACTGCCCTTCGGTAGTAATTGATTCTGGCCACAGGATCATTCTCTGGTACATCCCCAATGCCCTGAGTCCCTGGGTGCAGATGAGTTCCTCACGCAGAACTATCCTTCAGAAGTAGTTGACTGAGATCCCAATAGAACCACATATACATGGCCACCCTCGCCATGGGCGATATACTCAAGAAGAGTGTCACCAACAAAGAATCAGTCCAACTTCCGACCTCCTGAGGATCCTGCATTGACCCCTGGATGCATCAACATATGAGGTGAGTCTGGCTGTCTGATCATCAATAGTTATTCACATGGGGCAGTGCTATGGCCCTCCTCCAGACGATCCAGATGACGGGTTCAAACTGGAGGTCTCTGCCTCCTTGAAGGGTGACAGGAGCCTGTCCATGATCATGGATATGCAGAGACCCACCCTCCTTGCATCTGCTGCCTTGCATGTCATGCACCCTAAGCTTTACTGGGCTTCTGTGAGGACTCATGTCAAACTCGGTCATTGGTTGGCAGAGCAAGGCTTGCATGACATGCATCATTTGCTTAAGCATTGGGCTTCCATCTACACTGGTGCCACCGTCATGTGCAACCATAAGTCCCCTGACCACAGAGACCTGAAGTGTCCGCCCGAGGCATTCAACATATTGACTTGCATTGGGAGCTACCCACATGCCATCATGCAGTTACCAACCTTGGAATTGAGCTGGTATACAACCCTGGCGTCATGGTGAGCTATTCTGGCCACCTAGTCAGATATGGCATCCGTGTTGATGAGGGAGATCAGATGGTATGGGCTTGGTTCCTCCAGGATAGTGTGCACAATTATGCCAGAACCCCCCACCCAGATTATGCCACATACAATCTGGTCAACCTCCATGCATACCAGTTGACCAAGTACAACCAGGCTGATTTTGTTGTGTATGGCAACCCATAGATCCCTTTCCCGGCTTCACCCCACTCCACCCCCATTCTTTACAATATTAAGATTTTTTGTCTTTTCACATCACTCCTTACATACCGATGGTCAACCTCAATACATACCAGGCGGCCAAGTACAACCAGGCTGATCCCACTATGTATGGCAACCTGTAGACCCCCTTCCTGGCTTCATACTACCCTACCCCCATTCTTCACAATATTAGGATATCCTGTCCTTTTACATCACTCCTTACATACCAACACAACACCAACACCTACCAGAAATATGTCAATTTAATGCATTACTCCACATTTAATACAATCATTCTTGTGAAGACACTTGAAAGGGCCTTACTACATTTCAACCTGGACAATGGAGGCCCAACTGTAAGTATTCCACACCACCCTGGTCCCAGTCAGACTAATTTATACCACTGTGTGGGTGTTAAGACCATGCTCAGGGGTAAGACAGAGTCTGAGGGGCTTGGCTTCAGCCCAGTATGCTGTGCCCCTTACCCGAGTATGTGCCCCTAATTTCAGGATTGTAGTCCGACTCGAGTTCTACAAGGTCCAACAGGACATTGGAGCGGAGGTCCTCTAAAGGAGGACCAACAGACTACCAGGTGAGCGCGGGAATGTCGGGCGGAGATTGGTCCGCCCTACAGGGGAGAGTCAGAGGGCTACTGTAGTCAGAGCTAACAGTAGGAACGGAGCGGAGGAGACTGCTCGGACAAAGTCCAAAGCAGAATGGAAATGTGGAGGACAGAGGTATGAGAGGATTAGCCATAAGTCCAATGCGCGGGAAAGGCGGTGGAGGTGCGGGAAGTCAGAAGAGCGGAGAAGGCGGCCAACCTAGGGAGTCAATCCCCTAGGCCAGCAAACAGGAGTTGTCAAGGGTTTTGCCCAAGAACAGGGACAAGAGAGCAGGGCTTAGAAAAGGTAATATTCAGACTAAAGATCTACAGACAGATTTACATATGTTTATATACTCTAAGTTAGTAGCATAGCATAGCAGAAGGCTATGTACTGAGTGTACAGAATTACTAGAAAGATGACTGAGACATATGAGAAGGAGGCTCAGAGAATAGTATGTACGCGACAGATCAATAATCACTTGGGTATAGGAATTACCAGTGATCCGAAAGGAGGAACTATGATACTAAATGGAGATAGGACCAGTTGAGTGGTTCTTAGTCTAGGAGTGGACCGGTCAGGCAGTCAGGTGGACTAATAGTTGGGTGAAGCAATACAAGAGAAACTGGAGGAACCAAGTGGGTCAGAAAAGCGGAGATGGTGGAGGGAGTAGGAGTAGGATCAGTCAGACCAACAGAGCGGAGGAGCAGAGCTCCAGATAGGGTCGGATGGTAGGGATATAGTGTTGGAGGAAATAGGGGTAGTGTCAGAGGAGCAGAGCGGAGTCGGGCAGAGGTAGCAGGGCTAGTCCTTGTCATATACCTGATCCGACCACTCCGATATTAATATCCGCTCCGCTTTCCGACCACCTCCGCTCTGTCCAATCATCATCCACATCCGCCTCTATGCTTCCGCTCGACCGCCCAACCAGTCCCCTTCCATAATGTCTCCATTCAACTGGACCTCTTTCCCCTTTTAGATATATACTTTCCCCTTCAGTACATAGACCCTTACTTCCAGATCACTGGTAATTCTCCTTACTGCTCGATCACTGATCCAACATGTACATATTGATATCCACTCCGACTTATGTCTTCACCTGTGTAAGTACTTACAAATTATATCCTTGGTACATAGCTTTACAACATAGTTATCCTGGTCACTGCCTCCTACTTAGAAGTATATAACATATCCTGTACTTAGATATTTTCCCCAGTCTTAATATTACTTGTCTTCTTGCAGTTTCTACTTGTGAGAATTCTCAGTAGGACCTTGCCTCCTCCGGACACAAGTTTCACCTTGTTGTCACCTCTGACCCTCTGCTCCGACTTAGAGCTGTGCTCTAAGTCTTCTCCTTACTTCTCCGCCCCTATCAAGTATTCCCCCTGCTCCTTTCCCCCTTCCACATTATCCTGCGCCTTCTCCACTCCGCTCCTAGTCAGCCTGCCACTAGTAGCACTTACCTCCCGACCCTCAAAGCTGACCTAAGTGGTCCACTCGTCCTATTGTCGGACAACTTCAGATCCGCTCCAAATTTGAGGCATGTACTCGGCTGAGGGCGCAGTGTAAGAGCTGAAGCCAAGCCCCGACTTCTCTGCTTCCTGAGTCGGCACAGTACCTAACACCTAGGCCCAGTCATTGAATGCTCTCTTCAGATCTACATCACCACCCTGGGCCGAGTTGTCAAATTTTATACCGACATATGGGCCTGACCATCAATTCTCTATCACCACACGAGGCCTGGTCATCAAATTCTGCACTGACATATGGGCCCGGTTCTCAAATTGTATCCCACCATATGGGCCTGACTGTCAATTTTACATCACCAACCCTGGGCCCGGTGATCATATTTTATACCATTGTATGGGCCCAACCATCAATTCCATGATTCTACATCACCACCCTGGGCCCGGCCATCATATTCTATACCATTGTATGGGCCTGGCAGTCAATTCTACCTAACCGCCCTGGGCCCTGTCTGTCATATACCCAATTCAGCCACTCCCAACACCATTCATAGACATCCCTACTATTGGTCCGACCCCCTGTTTCCCTGTCCACTCCATCTGTCATATACCTGATCTGACCGCTCCGATACTGATATCTGCTTTGTTTTCCGACTTCTCCGCTCCATCCATCCTCTGCTCCATCCAATCACAAGTCCGCATTCTGCCCCACGCTTCCACTCAACTGCTCAACCGGTCCCCTTTCATAACCTCTCCATTCAACTGGATCTCTTTCCCCTTTTAGATATATACTTTCCCCATTGGTACATAGACCCTTACTTCCGGATCACCAGTAATTCCTATTACCGCTCAATCACTGATCCAACACGTACATATTGATATCCTCTCCGACTTATGTCTTCGCCTATGTAAAATACTTACAAACTATATCCTTGGTACATAGCTTTACTACATAGTTATCCTGATCACTGCCTCATACATAGAAGTATATAACATATCCTGTACTTAGATATTTTCCTTAGTCTTAATAGGTCTCAACTTGTTGTCACCTCCGACCCTCCGACCCTCCGACCCTCCACTCCAACTTAGAGCCGTGCTCTAAGTCCTTCCTTTATTACTCCACCCCTATCAAATATCCTCCTTCGCCCATCCACATTATCCTCCGCCTTCCCCCACCCCTACCAACATTCCCCTGCTCCTATCCACTCTCCGCATCACTCCTCACCTTCTCCGCTCCGCTCCTAGTCGGCCCGCCGCTAGTAGCTCTTACTCCCCGACCCTCAAAGCGGACCAAAGCGGACCATTCGTCCTACCGTCGGACAATGTCAGATCTGCTCCAAATTCGGGGCACATACTCGCTAAGGGTGCAGCGCAAGAGCTGAAGCCAAGCCCCGACCTCTCTGCTTCCTGAGTCGGCACCGTACCTAACACCATCCCTCCTTCTCCGACAATGCACAAAGTGCATCTCAGCAGGACTAGCCCTGCTACCTCCGCCCAACTCCGCTCCGCTTCTCCGACACTACCCCTATTTCCTCCGACACCGTATCCCTACCCTCTGACCCTATCTGGAGCTCCGCTCCTCCACTCCATTGGTCTGACCAATCCTACTCCCTTGTCATATACTGGATCCGAGCACCTCCAATACCACCCATGAACATCCCCACCCCTGGTCTGACCCCCTGTTGCCCCATCCGGTCCATTCCTCCTTCCCTGACAATGCATGAAGTGCATCTCAGCAGGATTAGCCCTGCTACCTCTGCCCAACCCCATTCCGCTCTTCCGATACTACCCCTATGTCCTCCGACCCCATACCCCTTCCATCCGACCCTATCTGGGCTTCCGCTCCTCCGCCCTATTGGTCCGCCCGATCCTATTCCTACTCCCTCCACTTTTCCGACCTGTGCGGATCCTTCAGTTCCGCTCGTATTCCCCCACCCGACTATTAGTCTGTCCGACCGCCTCACCGGTCCACTCCTAGACTAGGAACCACTCAACTGGTCCTATCCCCATTTAGTATCATAGTTCCGCTTTTCAGATCACCGGTAATCCCTATACCCTAGCAATTCTGATCCGTCATGTACATACTGTTCTCCGAGCCTTGTTCTCATATGTCTCAGTCATCCTCTAGTAATCTTGTACACTCAGCACATAGCCTTCTGCTATGCTATGCTCATCACTTAGAGTATATAACCATATGTACAATTGTCTGTAGATACTCAGTCTGAATATTACCTTTTCTAAGCCCTGCTCTTCTGTTCTTTGACTGGGGCCTGATCCTAGTCAACTCCTGCTAGCCAGCCTAGGGGATTGACCTTCTAGGCCAGCCACCCTCCGATCCTCCGTTCCCCTGCTCCTCTGTTCCCCCGTTTCCCCATTTCCCCATTCCCCCGCTCGTCTGACTTCCCGTGCGTCGGAACTAAACCCCGCACTCTCGCATCCATCCCCTCCGTTCCGCTCTGCCTCGGACTTCGGTCAAGCAGTTCCTTCCGCTCCACTCCTACTGTTGGTTCTGACCACAGTAGTCTCCCGCTTCCCTCCTGTTGGGCGGAACAACCCCCGCCCGACTTTCCCACACTCACCTAGTAGTCCGTCAGTCCACCTTCAGAGGACCCCCGTTCCGATGTCCTGTCGGAACCCATAGAATTCATGTCGGACTACATTCCAAAATTAGGGGCACATACTCGGGTAAGGGGCGCAGCGTACGAGCTGAAGCCAAGCCCCTCAGACTCCGCTTTACCCCTGAGCATGGTCTTAACATCCCTCCACCATCTCCGCTTTTCCAACCCACCCGGTTTCTTCAGTTCCTCTTGTGTTGTTCCATCTGACGATTGGTCCATCTGACCGCCTCACCAGTCCACCCCTAGACTAGGAACCATTCAACATAGGACATAACTGGTAACCGGAGCAATAGTTAATC